CCCCCGGAAAATCGATAAAAATGTAACCCCCCTGGACATATTTCTGACTACGCCCCTTATTACGCTGTAAGTCCTTTTAATTATGTTATATTATAGATAGTTTGTTTATCATCCTGCGGAAGAAGAATCAACAACTCTCGTTCCTCCACGTCTACCATCATGCTACCATGTTTGGTCTATGGTGGATAGGTTAGTTCAAAAATTTCCCACTAGATGGTTAACATTAATTTCTTTAATGTTTGGTATAAGGTGGATGGGTTAGTTTAATAATTTCCCACTAAATAGTACACATTAATCTGTATAGTGATTGGACTATGGTGGATAGGTTAGTTCAATAATTTCCCGCTAGATGGTACTATACCGGACAAAAGTCAGGTAGGTGGGAAGGTACCTAAATACATAACTACTCAGAGTCAGAACTAGCACAACTAGTCAGTCTGCGTAGTTTCTCTAGGCACTAGGCACGTTCTATACTGCAGTAGATAGGTTCTACATATTACATCAAATACAAGGTCCTGCACACACTTTATATATAGATTGAAAATGGCTGATTATTTATTTTTATCAATTAATAACAAAATACATGAAAATTAATTTGAAAAAAAGTATTTTATTTGCTCTATTTGACATTGTCGCACTCGGTGTACCTCCATATACCGGACAAAAGTCTGGAAGGTGGGAAAGTACCTAAATGCATAACTAGCACAACTAAATTGTATATTTTATTCCAATTGATAAAAAACATTGCCGAATATAAAGTGTATGTGAACCCCGCTAGATGGTATCTATCTAAAACGGGATGATTCATTTGGTGTACCGTTCCGTTTTTCCGTCTAAAGTCCTTCTTTATACTACTACATGCTCTACCTGCCTATAAGTTGGCATTGTACTTCAAATGAACCGGAAGTTTTTAGTGGCTGAGAATGATAGTTCAAAATATCACCGGTAGATGGTGAATTTAGTAGAATATTTTTTACTTAACAGAATATTGTAACACTGACCACTATACCAAATAGTAATTATTGTATTTCATTTAGCTTTGGAATCATTAAACTTTATTTTAGGAACCAAGTATGTGGCCGGGGGGTCAAGTTTTCTAGGAGCGATGTTTAACTGTGTTGTACATGTATTTATGTACACCTACTATGCATTGGGTAAGTACTGTTCATTTTGATAAGAAATGCTTTTTTTTGGGGCAGAAATTTTCTCTTTAACAAGAAGGTTTAAGATGTATCAGATCATCTTAACTTTATCTTAAGCGATATTAAACCCCCGCGGCGCTAACACCAAAATTGTATTACTAGATAATTATGAGATTTGATGGTAAACAACCTTTTCATGTCCTGGGGATAAACATTTTTATTTTTTTATCTTATTTGTTTCAGCGGCCTGTGGTGAATCCATGAAACCGTATCTTTGGTGGAAGAAATATTTGACCCTCATCCAGGTAAATATATGTTCCATTAAATATTGGGACACCCTGTAAGTTCCATTAAATATTGGGACACCCTGTAAGTTCCATTAAATATTGGGACACCCTGTAAGTTCCATTAATTATTAGTACACCCTGTGTGCACCATAAAATATTAGGACATCCAGAGTCAGTCCAATTAAATATTGGGACAATCCTTTAATTATTATCAAATCAAATCAAATCAAATATCATTTATTTACGTATAAAACATAACATTAAATATGATTAATCATCATTACAGGGGATAGATCAATTGATTTATTTTCTGCGTACTAGAACACCCTAGTAGTCCCCTGTATGTCCCATATTAGTACACCCTATTAGTCCCCTGTATGTTCTGCGTATTAGTACACCCTATTAGTCCCCTGTATGTTCTGCGTATTAGTACACCCTATTAGTCCCCTGTATGTTCTGCGTATTAGTACACCCTATTAGTCCCCTGTATGTTCTGCGTANATACAGGTTGTCCCACGAAACATGACAGTTGGTGAATATTTTTGAATGTCTTTTTCCATTCAAGACTTTTTTGCAGTTTATTTCGCTAAATAAATCTTTTACTCAAATTAATTTAACTTTGAAATCAATTTTACTAATAGATGACTCCCATATAATATTTTTTATTATTGTCTTTGGTATCAAACAACTTAACAAATTATGGAAGAAGACATTTTAAATTATTCACCAACTTTCATGTTTTGTGGGACACCCTGTATATTATTTTTGTATTAGTGTATTGTTATATAACAAGGCTTTTAGGGAGCTTAACGCGTCCTTTCCAGTAAATAATTTTAGCTTTCAGTTTTAACAGTTGCTAAAATCATTTCAAATTTTGGCGGATTTTTCTTTTCGAATTATCGCAATTTCAAAAAAAATTTCAACTATTTTCTAGGATTTGTTCTTCTATGTTGATGTTCCATAAACCTTCCCAATTGGGTCATGTGAGGCCCCACACAAAATTTGGGCTCGATCAGTTCGGCCGTTATGACGTTTATTAGATACAAACGGACAGAGACCCAAACTTACAAACAAACAGGCAGACAGACAAGAAAAGTATATATATAGATTGTATTAATTACTGTTTCAGAATCGGTTGCGATTTCCCGATGTGGATGCAGTACTCACTAGTTGGGTACATGTTCTCTTTTCTTGTACTCTTCTCAGACTTCTATTACAAGGTATAGTTGGTACATGTACTCCTTGTACTATTCCCAGACTTCTATTACAAGGTATAGTTGGTACATGTACTCCTTGTACTATTTCCAGAATTCTTTTGCAAGGTAGTTGGTACATGTATAGAGAGTTATGGGAAGAGCCCACATCACCGCACCATCCCCAAAGGGAGTAGCGGGGTGTCATTGATGGTTGGCCACGCAGGCCAAAGTGTGTACCACCAAGCATGGGTCAAGTTTAATGGCGTACTGCCACAAACCCTCTGCACACTTACCAGTTGCATGAAGGTCCAGAATTCTTTTGCAAAGTAGTTGGTACATGTACTCCTTGTACTAATCCAAGACTTCTATTACAAGGTATAGTTGGTACATGTACTCCTTGTACTATTTCCAGAATTCTTTTGCAAAGTAGTTGGTACATATACTCCTTGTACTATTTCCAGAATTCTTTTACAAGGTAGTTGGCTATTCTCAGACTTCTATTACAAGGTATATAGTTAGAACATGTAGTCCTTGTACTATTCTAAGACTTCTTTTAAAAGGTATATAGCTAGTACATGTACTCCTTGATACTATTCTCAGACTTCTAAGTTCTATTACAAGGTATAGTTAGTACATGTACTCCTTGTACTAATCTCAGACTTCTATGAAAAGGTATAGTTAGTACATGTACTCCGTGTATTTTATTACAAGGTATAGTTGGTATTGTACTCCTTGTACTATTCTGAGACTTCTATTACAAGGTATAGTTGGTACATGTACTCCTTGTACTATTCTCGGACTTCTATTACAAATTCACAGAATTAAACTTTTTTTGAGTCAGTAAATTACATTTTCTGTCACAACCCACAAAATTGATCAACTGAAGGTTTCAAGGGTACCCTTGTAAATCTGGCATTACTATCTTATGGTCACTTAAATTACGCTTACACTCCCTCTAATAATTTGATTTTCAAGCTACTAAGTAAAACTATAATTTTAACTTTATGTCCCACTGTAAAATTTAATCATTAAATTTATTTTTTAGGCTTATATCCAACAACGGAATGAGAAGCTTTTTAAGCAAAACGGAAACAGCAGGTCCAACAGAAAGAACGGAACCAAATCTAACGGAAACGGACAATCAAACGGAAAACAAAACATTGCAAACGGAAAGAAAAATTTGTGATAGGACTGCTAATTATTCATTGTTACTCACGGTTAGAAGACACTAACATTTTGTTCAAACAAAATTTTAGACATTTCAAAATATGTGGGTTATATCTAACATTCTGTTCTATTACGAACAAATGTTAGAATTTGGTCTAACAGTCTTGAATGAGTTCATGTTCAAATTTCTCAATGTAATTATTGAATTTTTTGAAGTCCTGAAAAATTATCATTAAGTTCAGACTTTAGAACTGGTCTTAAAAAAAGGGTTACCCACAAAGGATGAGACTCAAAGACAAGTGTACAGATTACATATCTTATTTTATTTTATCTTATAAATGGCCCCGTAAAGCTTTTTATTTGTTTCTTTTTTTGCTAATTAGTTTGATGAACCTGGCTAATTCTATATTGGGGGAAACCTGGATTTATAAATTTCATTTCAGCATATTTCAACAGTTTTAGGTCGTTATTAAAGCCTCTTCCTTTTTGGGTAGTCCTGTAACTTATGCAAAAAAGTGCAATTTTAAAAGACTTGCTTGGTTGTCATGTTTATTGCATTTTGTTTTGTTTTTACAATTACCAAAGGTACTGTCAGCAAAATTTTGATTGATCCTCTGTAAAAAAAAACAATGCCTTTGTGCAGAAATCCACAACAAAACGAGCAAGACAATGGTTAAAATTGATCAATTCTAACATTGTTAACAGGTGTTGGAAAATATCTTGTGGGGATCGCTAATGACACTTTTCAATACACGGCACTCAAATTACAACTAACAGGACTGTAGATATAATTTTAAGCGACCCTCCATTGTAAGGGTACATGTCTGATTCACACGGTACCCTTTACTATCTGAGTAATAATGTGTGTTTCAGTAGACAACCACTGGCTACTAAATATTATCTGATAAAAAAGAATGTATACTACCTTACACTCATTGCTTGACAACCTAAAGGTTTAATCGTAACGGCTCTGTGTTGTATAGATAGATCAGGATGAATTTCTTGTAATATCGGACATAAGATTCATCTCATCTTTTCTGCAACCCAGGGTATATAATAAAGATTTGATCTAAATAAAATAAGCAGAAAAAAGCATAATAGAATATGCTAAATATAAATCAATATAGAATATAGAAAAAAGTTTCTTATTTAAACTAAAAAACTGATCAATTGACAGAAACAAACGTTGCATTATACAGTGTTGTCTAAACAAACAAACATGCATCTTTTATTTTCCTTGTATCTTGCAAGTGGTTATATCTTAAGTCCGCGCCTTTTAAAAGGACACCAAATCGATCTTTTATCCTTTTTACTTGAATGCTTAACAGGGACTAAAAAATGCGTGGATTTCTTGAAATCAGGTTCCTAGGCCAGCACAAGCCACTATAATGCTTCAATACCAGCGCTGGAAATTTTAATTATACATCATAGTTGAAGAGGAAATTTAAATCTTATAAAACGTAAAACTTACATAGGTAAAACTCAATTGCTAAAAATTCTCATAATAATAAAAAATATCAAAGAAACTCCGAGAAATCCAACTCCAACTCGACATCTTCTTCTTTTCTCCAAGTCTCAACCTCCACAGAAGCAGCTAACTTCTGAACATTGGTCAATACTTTAGCAGGTTTCTTCTTTTTCCCTTTGATTTCCTCTTATCCGGAAAGAGCTTTCTGGCTTTAAGTATTGGAAAACTAAAATCCTTCAAAAATATCTCTTCATCCACTTCCACAATCTCCATTATGATAGATCCATCCCCATTGTCTAGAATCATTTCAGATTCCGGATCAATGGTAAAATCACCAGACTTAGTCTTTTTTGAATCTACAATTTTAGCTCTTGTTCAATTCTATTTGCCTCTCTTTCTGCTTCCTCGGCCTGTTGATCAGCATTATCTTTTTCCTCTTCCTTCTCACCTGCAGCAAATGCATAGATTTCTCCCTTAATGCTTTTCCTCATCTTTCTTTCTTCTCAAAGTCTCATCAGATACAAGGCCAGGCATGGATTCCTCTGGTCCTCTCTAAAGTATCTCTAATTGTTCTTATTTTTTTGCTCTACTCTTCCCCTTTTAATATGACCTTTTGCTGTTGATACAATAACTTGTATTCCCACAGATTCATATACCTGCACATCTACGTCTTGAAGGAATAGTTTTGAGCACTGCAGTGCTTTCAGCTGTGTACCTGAGTCAACATAAACTTTATAAGCCTATGCTTCAGCTTGATAGGTTCCAGAAGCTTAATAGCATCGTCAACTGTTACAATTGGAGTCTCATTTGGCTTTCTGGCACCTCCCATTTTTTTATTCATATTCAGCTCTGAAAAACCTGGCGATAAAACGTCTAACTCAGTCATCTATTTATTTGTATCCCAGGAGTTAAATACTTTCTCCATCTTAACTAGCCTTTTCCCCAGGAGGAAGTCCACTTTTCACTATGTATTTTAATGAGAAACCTCCTGTCTTTAATATCTCCGATACTTCTTTTATCTCCGATACTTCTTTTATCTGAGAACTAACCTCAGTTGTTTGAGCTCCAGGTAATAAATTGTTTACATATCTGTCACTTACTATGCAATTTAATGCATTAGGAAATTCCGTAATACCTATCTGGGCAAACTCATCTTAAGCAAAACCTGCCTGTGCCCCAGTTGGAACAATGCCATACCAGGCTCGCAACATTACCCATACTTCTGGTTCTTTTCCAGGGTCAAGTGACTCATGGTAAAAAAATCAGTGAATATGGAAATGCCGATTCATCAAGGAATAGTTGATTATGTAATTTACTGATATCAGAGCTCCTCTTGACCAAATAATGAGATCAAATATCATTCCAAGAGTATTTTCTCCCTTTGCCAACATCTGATTCAATCCCGTCAAGGTGGGATCAACCACCATACAGATTGGAGTTGAGACCATTCTTTGAACATCAGTCTATATGATGAGCATGACAGAATGGAGCCTTATTGCATCTTGGATCTTCTGGTCTAACTCTGTTAACTTCACCATAAATTTACTTTCTACTAGTTCAGCATGAGCCCTTCTCATGCCTCCTAGCATTAATTCAGGTTTTCTACACTGGGGTAATGAAAACCTTCTTTGCCTGCACAAAATTATCATTTTCATGATGCTTTTTGATCAAAAAATCATCTGGATTCTTCTTAAATGGTAGTTTGACTATGATCTTACCTGTAATTCTATTGACTGTAACACTTTGCTCCATGATGCTTTGTTCCATAGATTCCTGAAGAGAAATTGCAGTGTTTTGTGGTGATCTTTTGCACTCTTGGCATGATGAACATTTACTGCATCTGTAATCCCCACCAGATATAGTGTTTTCAATATCATGGACTCACATTATGAACTTGGAACACAACATTTAAACTTTAGATTTTGCTTCATTGTAGAAAAGTGAATTTTTCCCAAGTAATTCTCCATGATCATGCGAAAATCAGAGAAATCTGATCTTAATTCATGATGATGCTCTTTTTACATAATAGGATATTAAATGGAGCAAAACCCTTTTCCTGTGCGTATTCAATGCAACCTAGACACACTAATGCATCTGGGAAATTGTCTGAAAAATTGCATGGCCTTATAATACAGACACAATAACATATGCAATTCACCTTTGTTTTTTCCCATCTCTCTGCTGGTTTCATAGTTATTGATACCAAACACTCAGCCATGATTATGACCTTCAAGTGGACATGGGAATTTCAAACCAGGTGAAAACCATGGCTTTGGGGGAGAATTATTAGTAACATGAACAGTAACCTCCTCATCAGATGAATTTTGTACACTACTAGCCATGAATGCTGTTTGGATTTAGACTTCAATTGAGTCGTACTTGATTTATTACCATTATTCCCACACTGGGCTGAGGAAGATATACCCTTGTGTGGCTTGACTATATTATGTTCAGTTTTAACATACTCTTTTAACAGTGCAAAAGTATGTATCCCGTAAGGATTGTCCCAGTCTAACTTTCTGTCTGCAAACTTCCTATGCAATTGATCTGAATCTTTGCCTGGCAGAATTCCATTCATTGACAATAGCAAATTATGTGAACCAATAACTCTTGTAATGCAGCTATAGATATCTCTGGTACTTCAGAAAATTTGTCCAGACGCTGGATTCCAGCAGCAAAGTTAGAGAAGAAATAATATCTTTCTCTCTTATCTCCTTGTGTTGGTGATTATATAGAGATAGATCACTTACTCATAATCCGGAGAATCAGGAAACTCGGCCTACAGTTCATAGATCAAACCCAGAGGAATCCAGGCCTGGCCTTGCATCTGATGAGACTTTGAGAAGAAAGAAAGATGAGGAAAAGCATTAAGGGAGAAAGCCAGAATTCTAAGAGCAGAGACTGTTTCTAAAAGACAACAAGCTGCTCAACTTCAAAGTGAAGGGGAGAGACTGGGTGCCCAAGCTGATGATTTGGATAGAGAGGTGGTGGATATGGAATGACAGGAACCCATGTTGGAACAGAGGATTGCAGAGGTTGAATCAAGACATGAAGATTATGTCTGGGAAAATATAGACACTGAAACATCAATCAATATGTATAGAGATGCTTCGAGGCAGAGACGAGATCAAGAGGCCGGTCTAAGACAAGAGGCTGAGAATAAGAAAAGAGAGGCTGAGAGGTTGGGTGGTGAGGCTAGGCAGAGCTTTCTTTCAGGAATAGATCATAGATCTCACGGAAATATGGCGCAAGCTAATCCAATACTTTGCCATGTGGAACAGCTGTTAAATGAGGCAGAAGAGCTTGATTGACAAGCAAATGAACATCTCAGTCAATTAGAAAGGAACAGCGATGAAGTTCAAAATCTGATGGCTCATGTAATTGACAACGCTAGATTCAGAGGTGAACTCAGACAAGCAATGGCAGATTTTCAAAATAAGTTAGCTGAGCTAAGAAGTCAGCTACAGGAAAAAATTCTATGCATTTGCTGCAGGTGAGAAGGAAGAGGAAAAAGATAATGCTGATCAACAGGCCGAGGAAGCAGAAAGAGAGGCAAATAGAATTGAACAACAGCTGCAATTGTAGATTCAAGAAAATCAAGCCTTCAGAGGCTCTGGAGGTTCTTGGGGCAATGGAGGGTCAGGAGGATCTGGAGGTGCCAGTGGGTCTCAAGGATCTTAGGGTGTCGGGGGGTCTGGAAGTTCAGGAGAATCTTTTGGTGCCCAAGGTGCAGGAGGTTCAGGAGGTTAAGGAGGATCTTGGGGTGTCGGAGGTGCTAGAAGTTGGTGATCTTGCTCTTAACTAGTGCCTTGACAATGTCACTTATGATCCTATCCGCAGTACCATACTCTTCGATTAGTCTAGTCTTTATCTGTGCATAATTGTCAGAAATATCCTCCAATTCAGCTTTAATTGGTTCAGAAAGTTGATTGAATAATTGATTAGCCTTTTGTCTGGAATTACCCCAGCCCATGAGTGCCATTTCCGCATCATCAAAAACTTCATATATTGTTTAGGAAGCATTATTTGTAAAAATATGCAAGTGATCAAGGTTTCCCTTTCCAGTAGTACTAACATGGGCTTCAGATTGTACATATAACTGCTCCATATCAAGGATCCAATTTTCTGCTTTCTCTAATAGGTCATTTACAACCAATATTGATCAGGGAACCTAGTCTCATAAAAAGGTATAAGATTGAATGTTTCAGTAAACAACCTCTGGCAACTAGATATTATCTGGTAAAAAAGAATAAAAACATATTCTACCTTCCACTCATTGCTTGACAAGCTAAAGGTTTGATCGTAACCGCTCTGTGTTGTATAGATAGATGAGGATGAATTTCTTGTACTATCGGACATCAGATTCATCTCTAATATAAGGATATAATAAGGATTTGATCTAAATAAAGATCAACGATAAAAATAAGCAGAAAAAAATATAATAAAATAGGCTAAATATAAATCAATATAAAGTATCGAAAAACGTGTCTTATTTAAACTTTAAAACTGATCAATTGATAGAAATAAACGTTGCATTAAATATTGTTGTTGAAATAAACAAACTTGTACCCTTACTTCCCTTGTATCTAGCAAAAAGTGATTATATCTTGAGTCCAAGCCTTGTAAAAGGACACCAAATCCATCTTTTATCCTTTTTACTTTAATGCTTCACCGGGACTAAAAAATGCGTGGATTTCTTGGAATCAGGTTCCAAGGCCAGCACGAGCCACTATACTGCTTCAAATTTAAATCTTATAAAACACACAGAGTGAGTCAAAACTCACGAAACAATGTGGAAGATATCATCGTTTTCCTTTCTTGAAATGAGTTAATTCTGTCAATTTCCTTGGTTGTCCATGTTTGGTTAATCCGCAAGTCACTTTTCAAAGAAACCAAGCTTTTAAAATATTATTATCATTACATATAGCTCAGACAAAGGATGAAAGAGTACCATTGTGAATTGACCATGTTATTCTTTGAATAGAATGTCAACTAAAAATACACAGACAGTCCCTTTAAGAAACTAATGATCTCTCTTAAAATATTATTTAGTCAAATTTCAATAAAAACTAGTTTAATGTTAATTACATTTTGTTACCTCGTCCTCTTGTTGTAAAACGTGTAGATATAAATAAAGTTGAAATTAAATAACTTGCTCTTTATTTTTTAAATACTCTTACAAGGGAGTGATTTGCTTGACATGGTAGTTGAGCTGAAAGTGCAATATTATTGTAGAGAAAAACTTTAGAATTCATTTTATAACAATTTGATACAATTGCTTTGACAAATACTATTCTACAAACTAGTTCCATGTATACAAATAGATTGAGATAAATATACCATCGGAAATACGTTATTAAAATTCATTTTAAAATCTTACAAGTTTCTTCAAATTCTTTTAGCTATGGTCGCTTGTTAGAGGTTTTCTTCATTTTAATTTTGAAGACGGCATTTTAAAGAAATCTGCGAATAAAATTATAGAAACAGCAAAGGTGACAATGATATTGATAACGAAATACTCGATTCTACGGTTCTATTCTATACTATGGCTTTCTATGATAATTTCTTTTAAGAAATATGTTCTTTAACATCATATTTGTCTTTCATTATTTATACATGTTTTGTCCGGGTTATTAAAAAATTGTAAAAAACGTTTCTTCTGCTGACTGAATTACCAGCTGAAATATTACAAACGACTTATCACTCCTATTTAAAAAGTGTACACTGTAAAAATGGATCATTGGTATTAAATTAATCTAAAAGTTTTCTACACAATACTACACGTTCATGCTCAACCATGTCTAGTAAGTCACTCCCTTTAAATACCAAGATTTAAAGGTTTCCCTCTAACTTCCATGGTCATACAGGGTGTCCCATGAAACATGACAGTTGGTGAATAGTTTTGAATGTCTTCTTCCATATACTGTATTAGATATTGAACACTTTTTTGTTTATTTTCTTTAAAAAATCTTTTACTCAAATATATTTCACTTTGAAATCAATTTTACTGTAAGTTGACTCCCATCCCATACAATATTTTTTATTATTCTCTTTGGTATCAAACAGCTTAACAAATTATGGAAGAAGACATTTTAAGCCACTCACTAACTGTTTTGTGGGACACCCTGTAGTTGAAAACAAACAAACAAACAAACATGCAATCAACCATCATTCCGTAGAAGTCAAGGTTTGAGCCTTCCTCAAAAATAATCGCAAATACGATTATTAACAATTGGTTTCAACACAATTGTCTACAAGTGTGGCCAACTGACGGAGTAAAGACCAAGTCAACGCCCAACTTCACGCTAACAGCCAAATAGGTATAGTCCATCTCGGATCCTTGGTACTATCCCAGTTTGAAACTGTATAATTTATTAAATGCGAAGGGTGCCCGTGCAATGCATAATGTAAATAGCTGGAACAAGAATTCGACTTTTAAACTCAAAATTTTACTTTAAATAGTCCAATGAACATAAGCCTGTTGAATCAAAGGAGGCCTCGAGGTTTATCAAAGGTTGGTTTCCCTAGGGAGGTCAGGTTACGGAGCCTATGGTCTCAAGGGGGTCTATATTTATCACATTGATTTCCCCACTCTCTACTACTCATCCATAGTCCACAACAAACAAAAGAATTGTTTATTTCAATCCTAAAATAAGAATATTTTTAACAATATACCATTGAAATATTTAACTGTGTTCAATGTTAGATTTTATGAAGGTTCTTCCTATTTGCTGGTAAAAGCAGAATATGAGGGGTCTAGTGATCAGAAAAAAACTTTTATTACTTCTGAAAAATAAAATATCCGTTTGGTTTCACTGCACTATGTAGTTCTTTATATTTGTCGGAGTCTAAGAAAGGTTGGGTTTGGGTTTACCGGAGAATAATTTTGGTTAAAGACGACCTTACAACGGAGTAAGTTATAAAGGTTAATGGTGTTCAAAGTGTTGCAGTGTAAACAGACCCATTTCACTTAATATATGATTTAAAAACTTAATTTGCTTTGTAACAGCATCAAATGTACTTGAGTATTGCATAAAATTGTCTTCCTATTCTACAGTTTTCTGGTTATCACTGTAATATAACTATTTGCGTTGTAAAAGCACCAAAATATTTCTATGATGTCGTCTTTCATTTGCATTGGTTTCTGGTTCTCGCAGTAGCTGTCTGGTTCTATAGATGGGACTCTGTAAGCTGTGGAATAGGAAGACGATATTTAAGCAATCTATCTGTACATAATATTACTAGAAATTCAAGGCGCTTCGCGCCCTTCTTTCTAGCCTTATAGGGCGCTTCGCGCCCATCTTCTAAATTAATTATGAGCATGTTCTCTTTAAAACAAAAACGAAACAGCTATATACACTTCTAAAAAACAAATTTAGAAATTAAAATATATTTATTTCAGATGTTAAAAATTATTTTCATGTTTTAAAATTTAGAAATTACAAAAAATAATGGATTATAGAATAACAATATAACGAGGGTATATTCCATTATTTCAGGAAAATAAAGATGTTTTAAAGGATTGTTAATAAATAAAAAAGCAGGCTTTAAAAATTCAAATAATTAATTTTTTGTTTACAAATGGGTCAAGATTTTAAAAAGTAAAATTGGAGTATATACAGTAAAACCCTTTATAACGAATACATCGGAAGAATTTATCAAATGTCGTCTTGACAATTTTTCAATTAGTTTTATACTATATTACGTAAATTTCAGTATTAAATAAATAAATAAATAGCCATGAATATGCGGGAAGAGTTTTAAAGAGTTCCATTTTATCATTTAATTAAAAAACTAAATATCTGCAACATTCCATTATCAGAAAGTGAATAATACGACATTTGATGAATACTTTCGATGTATTCATTATTAAGGGTTTCTCTGTAGCCCAAGATAAATATCATTAAATATCATAAATTATCATTACGATAATTTCAAAAACATATTGAATGACAAAAATGGAAGATGGAATGAAATGAATACTTCCGGAAGATTACAATTATAAAGGGACTGTTAACGTACTTTAAAGTGAATCCCCATTTAAAAATTGCATATTCAACTCACAACGGTACAATATAAAAAATTTTCGCCGACAAATTTTTCATGTTTTTGCGAAATAAGAAATGCGATAAATTTGCGAAAAATTTCGAAAATTTTGGGAAATGCAAAAAATTATATGAAAAAACTTGTACTGCTGAGCTTTCAGAGCAAAGAATTCTACAAGTTTTTTTGTGTAATTAATAGTTTAACGCAATTTTTTCCGCGAAATTTTGCATTGTTTTCCAATTTTTTCGCTTGATTAATATTCGTTTTTGCTGGAAACCCTGATTATAACCTGATTAACACAAAAAGAGAAAAAAAATATTTATGCCCAGGCGATGGTTTAAAGGGTACGTTGTTTATGCAACTCTTCAAATGGAGAATCTTTTAATTTATGTCAACAGTCCCTTTAAGTGGAAGATTTAAAATAAGAAATTGTGATTTCGTGGCACTAGAGTTAAAGAGACACCTTGTAACAATGGAAGATGGTTATAATTAAGATTAAACTATACTTAACTTGAAAATTTAACCAAAAAATATAAACAATCCACTAAAAACTTGGTAATTTTGGAAATGAATTTCAGTTCTTTAATATAATACATTGTAGGATTTAAACACTTTCAGTGAATGAGATGTTTTTCAAGTAATGAAACAAAATAGTGGAAGTTCAAAATTTTAACCATAAAAAATTGGTAAATGATAAAATTGAGCTTTTTAATCTTTCCTAAAGCTTTACTTTTCTTTTAAGGGTCAAACAGTAAATAAAGAAATTTTAAAATTGAGGTCCAAATTTAATTTCTTCAAAGTTGAGTTCTTATAAATAATTCTCATCATATTTTCCAGTTTTGTTAAAAACTAACTAAGTGAGTTAAAGTTTACATTTCATGTAACATTCTGGCGAACATCAATGTGTACAATAAGTATACATTGTTGTGTACAGTAATTGTACAAAATTGCGTACACTCAGTGTACAACTTGTACACAACGAAATATTATTGTGAACACAAAGCAATATTCTTTTGTACAGTAAGTGTACTTTAATATGTACACTGAATGCATTGTACAAGTACAATGAATGTACATTGCAAATTTATGCGTACAATGAATGTACATTCATATGTACAATAAATGTACATTTATGTGTGCGTTTACTTTTATATGTAGACTGAGTGTACATTATGTCCAATGTGCATAAGGTAATCTGAACTAACGATTATCACTAACAAAGCACCATCACACAATTTTTAACATATTGTTGAACGCCCTTTAAGCGAAGACTTTTGAACCGAAAAAATTCTAACTTCTAATAAAAAGATACCAAGAACAAAAAGAAACCAAGTGAGCGGAAAAAGTTGATATTTTAATGAAATTAGCATTCATATTTTACAAATTCTGATTTGAAATGTTTCAACATTTTAGTTTATCGCTAATACCAGAAATTCCAGCTTCTAGCTGCACAACGTTAGAAAGTTTTAAAATCTTTAAAAAATATCTTCCAAATTCTGTATCACAGGCTCTGTGAGTGCAATTTACATGGGAAAATATTTATTTCCCCAAACTAAATTTTTAATTTTTAATTTAAATTGCGAAAAAGGAAAATATCTTAATTATNGAATATATTTATTTCCCCAAACAAAATTTTTAATTTTTAATTTAAATTGCGAAAAAGCAAAATATCTTAAACATCAATTTTTTTTAAAAATATATACATCCGAAAATTTGCGCGCGAAGAAAATTTGATTCCGATTCATGTAATAAAGGCAAGTTTTTTCTTTAAAAAACCCTAGACTGGAGGGATAAGCCGTATAAAATTGACAATGCGTACAATATACAGTACATAGCACAAATGTACATAGCGTACATAATAAATATAATGCAGGGTTGATTTTCTAAAAATGACTTTTGGACTGGTTTTCTTAGGAAGAATTTCCATATTATTTCACATAGCAAAGATGATTTTTTAATAAAAACCTAGACATAGACACCGCTTAAAAACTTGTTTTATAAGGCTCTGTCTTCAAAATTAAACATTTTTTTATAATAGCAAAATGCTTGAGGTGTGTTGAGAATATATGTAGCGAAATAATATCAAAAATGTTCCTTTTTTCTTCATATGAACTCTACTAACACTAGTCTGGAATATTCAGTTTCTTGAGATATATCACACTCTGGTTTAATCACTGCTGCGCATATCTGTAGAATTGCCGCACATGATTATATAATTTCGCAGCCTTTTCGGGTTCCGTAGATTTTCTTGACTTGAGGAAATATCGTCTTTCTTATAAAACTATTCTGAGCAGCCACCTGCACAAATAGTTTTATATTAAAATTAATTTTATTTACAGTGTCATGTAAGATTTACAACAGTACCCTTTGAACCTTAGTCTGTTCAACGATCATGGATGAAATATAATTTTTTAATATTGATTATTTTCAAATTTGTTTTCTTTACAAATGTAACTTGAGAATTTCTGCAACAAAGAAAAAGAATAAATTGATGAATTATTTACTAGAAAATTTAAATGAGTTACCTTTTTGTTGTCCATATGGGAATGTAAAATCTCTTTAGTTTTGATACCGGGCCTGGAATAGATCTTGTTAAAAACTTATTGTTAACCTTATGATTACACTTATTATCAAATATTAAGTAAACAATAAAATTTTCTATCTAAATATTTAAGATATTCATTCATTTCTTTTATTTTCTTTCTTTAAAAAAAACAACAATAAATTTATCAATCAAGCAAGCAACCAAGCAACCAAGCAGCCAAGTATCCAAGCAACCAAGCAACCCTGAAACCAAGCACCCAATCAATAAATCAATCAATCAAACAATCAATCAAACAACCAACCTACTAATCCATCAATCAATCAATCAATCAATCAATCAATCAATCAATCAATCAACCAATCAATCAACCAACCAATCATTCAACCACTCAATCAATCAATCAACCAATCAACTAATCAATCAATCAATCAGTCAATCAACAAACCAACCAACCAATCGATCAATCAACAATTCAACTTATCAATCATAAATCAATTAACCACTCAATTAATCTATCATACTATCACTTAATCTCTCATACTATCAATTAATCTATCATACCATCAATGAATCAACTAATCAATGTATGACCTGTGAATGAGGAAAGCATTATCAAGAATATGGAATTCATAATCCAAGACACACATCTTGTATCCCTGTAATTAATCAAATCAGATTTAGTCATTTTAAACTTCAAGCAGAACTATTTCCTTTCAGAGTGTGACTTACTTAGCATTTTCTCTAATAAAATATATTTCGAATTTCTTTTTTTGAACATTTTTTTCTTTCTAAATTGATAACACTCATTGACCACACTGCTCAGAACTGCTCAGAACACAAAATGACTTTCTAGGAAATTCTAAATGTTATTCAAATAGTTTTTAAATCTTCTTTAAATAAAAGGAAGAATGCGAAGAAGTGGGAAAGGCCGTGTTTTTGGCAAAAATTTAAATATCTATTTGTGCACTTTTTAGGGTGGATGAGCTTCCCCTGTTTTCCGACTTTTATTTTGTAAAAAAAAATTCATAACATTTTACCTATTTCAGTTTCAAATCTTTTTTTAATAATATATCCTTTTTTCAGCGAATTAAAGTTTTTCAAATAATTTTAATTTTGTCATTAATCATAATTAAGTAAGTATAATTTCTTTTTGAACCGGACTCAGCTCCTGATTAAATATCAGATTTTGTAAGTAAAGTTGTAATGTAAAGATTTTAAAAATATTGATTCTCTTTCTTAATCAGAATGAAGCGGCCTAACAATCTCATTGTTTTTTTATTTAAGTTCTACAAACTGTATCATCTACCTGCGTCATTTTATCTGCACGGCCCTCCCACGTCAATCTCTCATCATAAACTGGTTCCTGAAATTATTTTTTTTTATTACAAATTCGCAACTTTAAATTTGAGAAAATCCGCCATTTTAAATCTTAAAAAAATCTTTAATTCAAAGCTACTTGAGCAAATCAAAAAGCTATTTTATCTATTTTGTAAAATATTGATCAAGTTTGTCAGATATGAATATTTATCCATGATTGAGTATTTAATAAAAACATCCATTATTTGTCCCAATGTATATTGGTTCCCAATATTGGTATTAATAAAACATACATTATTTGTCCCAATGTTTATTGATTCCCAATGTTGGTATTGATAAAAACTCACATTATTTGTCCCAATATATATTGGTTCCTAGTGTTGGAATTGATAAAAACTTACATTATTTGTCCCAATATATATTGGTTCCCAATGTATATTGGTTCCTAGTGTTGGAATTGATAAAACTCACATTATTTGTCACAATGTATATTGGTTCCTGGTGTTGGTATTGATATAAACTTACATTATTTGTCCCAATGTATATTGGTTCCTGGTGTTGGTATTGATAAAAACTTACATTATTAGTCCCAATGTATATTGGTTCCTAATGTTGGTATTGATAAAAACTCACATTATTTGTCCCAATGTATATTGGTTCCTGGTGTTGGAATTGATAAAAACTTACATTATTTGTCCCAATGTATATTGGTTCCTGGTGTTGGAATTGATAAAAACTTACATTATTTGTCCCAATGTATATTGGTTCCTGGTGTTAGTATTGATAAAAACTCACATTATTTGTCCCAATGTATATTGGTTCCTGGTGTTGGTATTGATAAAAACTTACATTATTTGTCCCAATGTATATTGGTTCCTGGTGTTGGTATTGATAAAAACTCACACTATTTTTCCCAATGTATATTGGTTCCCAATGTTGGTATTGATAAAACATACATTATTTGTCCCAATGTATATTGGTTCCTGGTGTTGGTATTGATAAAAACTTACATTATTAGTCCCAATGTATATTGGTTCCTGGTGTTGGAATTGATAAAAACTTACATTATTTGTCCCAATGTATATTGGTTCCTGGTGTTGGTATTGATAAAAACTCACATTATTTGTCACAATGTATATTGGTTCCTGGTGTTGGTATTGATATAAACTTACATTATTTGTCCCAATATATATTGGTTCCCAATGTATATTGGTTCCTGGTGTTGGTATT